AAATAGTATTCGTAGTATATGAGAGCAAGCGGCGGCGGCGGCGCAATGGTCGCCTGTGCCGCCGGTCGATGTTATGCGGCGGTGTACGACGAGCGCCTCCTCTACGACCCCGCCGACCATGAGCGCTGCAACGCGCGCGTGAGAGCGTACGGCGGCGCGGCGGTGACGGACGACGACGACGACGACGATCGTGACGGAGGCGGCGGCGGCGTGTTCGGTCGTGGTAGTGGTTGCGCGGCGAGGGCGGGCGGTGTAGTCGGCGCGACCGCTGTGTTCCTGTTTTGATGACGCAGAATTCCGTGCGCGCCGCCCGCACCCCACTCCGCCGTCAGACGTCATTTGACGTGGCTGCTACGTAGCACTCGCTCGGGCCAGTCGGATCGCAGGACCAAGCTCTCGTACGACGTAACATTGTGCTGTGGGTAACGCGGCGGGCTTACGCCGCGCGCTCGCTATATACCTTGTTGTGTGTCATCACCCCGTGTGTCTCCGTACCTATCTCTCTCGGTGTCGGCGCCGCCGCCGACGACGCCGCTGTCCGACGTCCGTCCGTCGTTATTATGATTTTATCGTTAACGTTAACAATCACCGATTTACCCGTTTCATACATTTGTTTATTATTAAAAGAAAACACCACCGTCATCGTCGTTTCGCCGTTTTCGTGGTTCCCGTCCGCAACGAAATCTCCGCGGATCGCGCGTCCTCCGGCAGTACGAAAATCGTGTTTGAGAAAACGATTTTTATCATAAATGCTACGTGCCGCGATGTTCCGTTCGCGACGTCCGTCTGCCGCCGCTGTCCGGCGACGTGATTATTATTATTGCGACTGTCGACCGCGAATTTGCATCCCGCTCGCGTTATCACCGTCGCCGTCGGTTTATTATTAAGGTCGAGACACTATTTATTTTGGTTTACCCTTACCGCCGAGCAACACACGGACGCAGTCGATGTCGGAGCGCGACAGGCCTGACGTCAAAACAGATTAAAATTCGTAAACAAATCGAAAATTCGAAAGTATAGTATTTTATTTCGCGTTCTACCTGGTCGGACACCGGACGATACTATCGTATTACAGTAATACTATATAATACGTAACCGAACGAAGTGTCATCACTCCCGTGTGTCTCCTCCGTACCTATCTCTCTCGGTGTCGTCGCCGCCGCCGACGACGCCGCTGTCCGACGTCCGTCCGCGTCGTTATTATGATTTTATCGTTAACGTTAACAATCACCGATTTACCCGTTTCATAATCGTTGTTGTTATTATTATTAAAAAAAAGAAAAACACCACCGTCATTCGTCGTTTCGCCGTTTTTCGTGGTTCCCGTCCGGCAACGAAATCTCCGCGGATCGCGCGTACTCCTCCGGCAGTACGAAAATCGTGTTTGATTTGATTAATAACGATTTTTTATCATAACATGCTACGTGCCGCGATGTTCCGTTCGCGACGTCCGTCTGCCGCCGCTGTCCGGCGACGTAGATTACAATATTATTATTGCGACTGTCGACCCGCGAAATTTTACAATCATCCGCTCGCGTTATCACCGTCGCCGTCGGTTTATTATTATTGTGGTCGAGACACTATTTATTTTCGTTGTTTACCCCTACTACCCGCCGAGCAACACACGGACGCAGTCGATGTCGGATACCCGCGGAGACAGGCCTGCGACGTCAAAAAACAGATTAAAATTTCGTAAACAAATCGAAAATTCGAAAGTATAGTATTTTTATTTCGCGTTTCTACCGGTGGCCGGACACCGGACGATACTATCGTATTTACAGTAATACTTATTAGTTATTATCGTGTATGTTCTTACACGCGCGCGGCAATCATCCCTGCACCGCTGTGGTCGTGGTAGGCCTTTACACTGCCACCTTCAACCCTAACGGTTTGTCCGCGCCATGATCAAGTTTTATTCGTTTGCATAGGACGTAACGACGATTTTATCGTGTTATGGACGGTATGGTAGAAGAAAATGGGACCGGCGGCTCAGTTGATGCCCTCGTCTCGCAGGGTACCGGCAGTCCAATTGTCGTCACGTCAGTAAGTCATCTACGTCAAACAGCATTATCTATGTAAACTAATGGTCTGTATTTGTCTTTCTCATATTGGTAAATAACTGTTAACAGGTGCACTCAGTGATTCAGGCAAACCAACAGTCAGTCATCCAGACTGCAACACAAGGCACCATGCTCACCAAAGGCAACGTTATATTGTTAAGCAAACCGAATTCAGTTATACAAACTCCTCAAGGAAATATACAAACTCTTCAGGTAGTAGTATATTTTTATATTGTCCAATTAATAACAATAATAATGATAATGATTTCTTCCTATTGAAATGTTATAAATTGAATGTGTTTGTATGAGATTGTTATTTATTATTTTGTTATCTGTTGTTGGCTTATTAAAGTATAATATAATTACGTCTCTTGATATTTTTCAAGGTTGTTGAAGCTGGTAGTGATGAAAGCTTATCAGCAAACGAGGATAGCCCCAAGAGAGGACGCCACGATGCCTTAACAAGAAGGCCGTCTTATCGGAAGATTTTAAATGATATCGCAGGTTGTTTGATCTATCCGCGTGTTGTATGTTTCCAAACATATTAAATAATTACTATTACATTTTCCGTTTAGGCGGAAAAGTTGAATCATCTGGTTCAGATTGCGATTCAAATCTTGACAGCGAATTATCTTCAAATTCACTGTCTGCTCATTACCAAACTGGTAAGTTGGTGTATTTATAACTACTTAGTATTATATTATATCATAATGTATAGATAGTTTGAATTTGATTAGTCGAGTTTTAATCTACTATAAGTTATAGAATGATAGGCTTAAAGCGTATTTATTTTTATACCTACAAATAAACACAAATTAATTTTAATTTTATTGATAAAAAATAAAAGACATTAAATTATTATTGTTTTATTAGTGTGAAATTACCATAAAAGTAATAAATATATTTAGTATGTAGTAAATAATTATGATAATACAAATCTACAATAGATATACACTATATGTATTTTAAAAAAGTTGTACAAAACAATATTAATCCATTTTTAAAACCATATTTGTGTCATGACACATTTAAATATTTTTCAAACAATTTAATCATTTAATATAAAACACTTAACTGTCAATAAAAATTTTCTTAACTAAAATAATTTACTTTTATTAAAATCCATATCACTGTTAATTTTATTAGAGTTAATTATAATTTAAAAAATACTTAATTTTTTTATTATTGTGATTTTTAAGTAGTAATAGTAAACTGTTTTTAAAACATTCCATTAGATCATATTACAAAATAGCAGACATTATATTTAAGTGTTGAGTAGGCTACAGCTGTCGTTGCATTATCACTTAACAGTTATCATATTAAATTAAAAAACATTATTACATTCTAAACATAATTACTAATGATATGGTATTAATAGGTTTTCTTAAATTTTATACAGTATTTATCATTTAATAGTGTTGTATTTAACATAGAGAATTATGAGTGGTTCTATTATAGATGTATGTATTATGAGTCAATACTCACTTTCATTCTGAGTTAAAAAACATAATAAACATGTTAAATACATGACATAAATACTGTACTTACTAAACTTAGTTTGAATATGTAATACACATATAACACATATAGTTATTAATAAATGATTTTAAACAAACATTAATGAAATATTACATCATAAAAAAAATTTTAATTAAATATAAATAATATATAAAAAAAAACTTGAATTATGAAGAAATGCAAAAATAAATAATTAATTTTATAAATAAAATATATTATGTTACTATTGATTGATTATTCATTACCAATTATGTCATTTGATGACTGCAAACTGATATAAAATTTCTTCATTAGAAACACATTTAATAAGAAATTCTATAGGTAATATAGATACTTTGATAAACTCTTAACAAGTTCTGACAAGTACTTTATTGATATGATATCAATCAGCAATAATAACACAGTGGGCACTGTCTTTTTAGTATCTATTATTCTAAACATAACATTGATTATGTAATTTATTCATGTTCTATCGATTTGTAATATAAATATATACAAAATTATTATAATAATATCTAAATAATTTAATTTAAAATACGAAAAAAGGAAAAATAAAATTGATTACTTCAGAAATTTAATAAATTTCATTTATATGCAATAAAAGTATTAGATTTTAAATCTAAACCCTACATATTATAATAATATACTGTTTAAATTATTAAAAATAAATTATTTTATTAAAATATAATTTTTTTGTTATATGTATAGTTTATACAATAAATTGTAGAAGCTCTTAATATTTATGTATTTTAAACTATTACTAGACAATTTTGATTTATTGGTTTATGTTAATAATTGTTATTTATATTTTAGTTCCTGCATCAATTCAGTTAAATAGCCAAGGTGAAATGCATAACATGCCAACATTAACAATGTCAAATGCAACTTCTACTGGTGGTACCATATTGCAATATGCAAGTCAGGATGGACAATTTTTTGTACCTGGTAAAATTGTTAAACACCAATACTAACAGTCTAAATTAGTGCTATTTAAATATGTTTATAATTATTTTTTAGTTGTTACCCAAGGAGGGAGTTCTACTTTGAATACAAGTTCTTTGGTACCTGAAGATCAAGTTAAAAAACGTGAAATGAGGCTATTAAAAAATAGGTAATTAAATTAATTAGTACACTACATAATGATTAATATATTTTGTACTGTTCCAATGTGCAACCTATAGTGAATTATTAAATAATCGCTTATGTTTATCAAACATATTCTTAGTCAAATTTTATGTTGTCAAAGTATTTTTCACGTCAAGATTTTATCATACATAGTTTCCTTGTTCGGTGAAGAGATCCTCTACTCCTTTTTAAGTATCACAACTGATAACATAGACACACTGTTTACTTTTATTTTTTATTGTTTCTGAATTTCGCATAAGCATTCAAATACCTTAAAGAAATTTATTATTACTTAATATGTATGTTACATTCTTTTAATATACATTTTACTCTTTATTATTCAGGATTTTAGTACAATTATTATTATTATCATTATTTTGTGTTTATATGAAATATATTTTAGACTTGTAAAAGTTAATCTCGTGTTTTTTTCATTGTCTGAATAATTTTTATAAAGATATTCTAATGTTGTACCCATGATAAAAAAATCAACATTAAAATTATTATTTATCTATAAATAAAGGGTCTCATTTATTACTCATAGATAATACGTAAATATTGGACTGGTGCCATGTTTTTAATATTTATTATATAATAATATAAAAGAACTAATTATTTGGTATTTTATAATTATAGTAAATCTTAATGTTGCTTAATGTTTAAAGTAAATTCAAATATAGTCATCATGTTTTCTTGTTAAGTTAGCTAAGTAACTTAGGAAGCAAATAAATATGTACCTTGTTTAATATATTATTGTTAATGTAATTATATATTATATTATTTTATAGGGAAGCAGCAAGAGAATGTAGACGGAAAAAGAAAGAATATATTAAATGCTTGGAAAACCGAGTATCTGTTTTAGAAAATCAGAATAAAGCACTTATTGAAGAGTTAAAAGCCCTAAAAGAACTTTATTGCCAAACAAAGACTGAATAGACATAGTTTTTGAACTTTCAAATTTAAAAGAGAAAACAAAGTACCAGTCATGACCAAAATTGCATGCTTTACGTGATATTTTCAAAAATCTTGTAAGCTCATTTTAACTTAATATGTTTTAATCTTTTGGTAATGTTTTTGGAATTAAGTAATTTTTAAAAAATGGTTTATTTTTGTTAAAATCCAAGAAATTAGTTAAAGGGTCAATTGTGCAGTAAATAGGTGGCCAATTCCGTGTAAACGATTATTTTAGTGCATAATTGTCTGCTACACGACATCACAGTAATTTTTGTTCATATGTTTTCAAAGAAATCATGAGCTTTTATATTATCTATGCAGTTACATAATTTTATATTATGAAATTTGAAACTAAAAAGTTTCTTTTTACAATTAGTGTTAGCTAATTTTTTTTTTAAGTATCAAACAAAAGAATTTATGTGGTAACCATGGGGTTTGTTTAAATTTAAATTATTTTTTTTTTTCCTTAAATTTACTTGTTAAAATGTACTATCCAGGTTTGGTTATGATAATTGAATGGACTATTTTTTATACATACAATTCTCAAAATATTAAGTTACCTGTATGGTTATTTCGATTTAAGATATAGGTATATATTATATAGATGATATATATATATATATATGAGAATATATAAATAGGTTGGTTTGTTTTATGTATTTGGATGTATTTACCATTTTTTTAAGCATTGATATTTGCCATAATTTTATTTTATAGACATAAACTCATGAGTTTTACAGTTTGTTAAAAAAAGGGTGTTAAAAAAATAATATTTTACAGGGGAAATAAAATTAATGTTTCAAAAATAGAGATTGATTTAATTATTTAAATTGATTCATCTATGTGTAAAATAAAAGTAAGTTTTTATTTATACTTAAGCATTATGCTGAAACAGCCTAAATAATGACAATGTTCCACAATAGTGAGACTTAAATTGATTGCTTATCTCCAAGTTGTTAAAATTATTTTTTATCTGAATAAAATTTGGGATCTATAAATTAATTCATAATTATCCCCTGTTTGATGTTAATATTGGAATTGACTACCATTTATCAAATGTTGAAGACCTCTTTCTGTATACATATTCTATATTATATAAATATATCTCGGTATAAATGTTAAAACGGAACAATAAAATATTTTCGTAGAAAATAGATATTTTTAATTTGTTTAGTGTATATAGTTATTTTTAGAATTGTTTTATTATTATTTTTAAATGTAAATTGAGCATAAAAATGTAATTTTTTTAATGTAAATTTGTTGTCTATTAGAAAAAAGATTATTTATGAATATATTATGAATTTGTTAAATATTGTGTATGGTGTATAATCGATAATCATGTTTCATGTATATATTTATATATAATATGATAATAAATATTTTTAATACTATTTTAATAATAAAAAAAAAAAATAATATCCGTTAAAGTTTAAAATAGTTAGATTTTGTTTAACTGTTATTATAAATGTAGACTAGATGGTTGAACTTTAATCTGAAATTTGAAAACAAACCAAAGATAATGAAGCTATTAACTATTTTTTATCAAACAGATTTTTGATTATTTATTCTAAATTTGTTAAATAGATAACTAATTTATATTATAATTTATTCTTTGTTTATTTTGTTATTCTTAATTTGTTTTATCTTTGTTTAGATAAAGGGATAATGTTGTTATGGTATATCTACTTATAAACTTGTATAATTATTATTTTTTGTAATCCTATATGGTTTTATTAGTATTTTTTCATCGGTTCAAATAAAATGTTATTTTTATCGGCAATGGTGAACACAGGGCAAAAAGTTAATCCTCTTAGAAATAATTAGAACACCAAAAAAAAAAACATTATGTTCATTTATTTCAAAATTTCTTGCAACAATAATATATATTTTTTACAACTTATTCCTGCGTTTGCCTTTGTTTGTCAAGTAGAATTAAAATTTCAAACATTGTTTAATCATTTTTTAAATATTAAATGTTTCAATTTTGTCCAATTGTGGGTATTGATAAACATATTATCATTAATTAATTCAAAATTTTACCAAATATGTATGTAAATTATTTACATACTATGAAAAAATATTATTTTATATAATATATTTGTTATACATATCAATTAACAGTTATGTAGCTCAATTATATTTTATGATACTTTCATCTGAATAAATAATTTTCTGATTTAATGTTGTCAAAAATCTGTAGTACCTAGGATTCAATGATGAGTCTTAGTATTTTTTAGATTAGTTATTATTATAAATATAAATATTGCATAAAATTGTTTTATCATAAAGCCACTTAGTGCGACAACGATTTAGTAATGCCAATGATTAATACATTAAGTACTACCTATTTACTTGTTCAAATCATCAATTCATTGTTTCAGGTGAAATATTTTTATTCGAACAATTTACCCTTTTAAAAACCAGAAAAACACCAATATTTCACAATACTCGTAGAGGACTAGACTACTCCAGTTAACCAATATTGTATTTTTAACATGTTAAAAATGACTGAACTTTTTGGCAATCGATATAGCATAGCATGACGTCGTTTAGTGACTTATAATATTGTTATTAATCACGATACGTCATAACTTATAAATGTGTATGTGAAATCCGTCTAATCTCAACAAATCAATTCCTCATCGTGTAGGCATTATAATATTTACGATTGTTTTCTACAATTTAGAATGTATACAACAAATCGTGGACAATTTTCGGGTAAAGTTAAAAGTACCTACCAACTGTTCAAAATCGCAACAAAAAGTTAAAATTGATATTGGGCAATAGAGTAGATTAGTGTTTTGATATATTAGGTAAAGAAATACAGAAAGCATGGATAGATTAAATTTATTTCGTAGCTTAGTATTGACCGATTCTTACGTTTTGTACTTACGCCTTATATACGTTGGACAGTTGTTTTGACGTTATTTCACTTTATTCTATATAAACCGTGTGATCAACCCGGTTTTGGTCGTTTTAGACGTGTTTTTATTCATATTAAATAATAAATCGATTGATTAGAATTAAATTTCATAGATAGCAGCACATAATTAATATCAAATAGTTCACGGTCATTCAAACAAATAAAAACCGGTTAGTAATGTATTATGTATTTATGACTTATGTAGATTTTAAAATGAATCTAAATCAATTTGTTAAGACTTCAGAGGGCTAACAATGATCTATAACCACGTTAACCGTGCAAGACGATCAAAACAATTTTATTGTATTCAAATAGTGCCTTATCCGAGTGTTTAAGTGTTAAACATGTATTTGAACTTCTTATATTCATAGACCTACAGGATAATTAAGATTCACATAGTAATTTTTCGATCCAGTAATTATGATAAATTTATTTCTAAAATTATTCATGAAAAAAAATAACTTTAATAATCTAACCTACCCAAAATATTAGTGTGTCATTGTTATATTTTCAACCTAAGGGCGATTGTAAACTCGACCCTGATTTTTTTCAGGTAACATAATTAATTCGTGACCTTGGTTTAAATAAAAAACATGCTTGATTTTCTTTTATCAATAACTAGCAACACCTTGTAATATTTTTGAAATTCATTTGGCATTACCTAGAGAACACCACAAGGAGAATATTCTCCAAAAATAATTTGTCTCGATGTTTAATTATAATATTTAAACATCGAATTTTCCACAATAAAATATCGGTAAGTTGTTCATTATTTTTGTCTTTCAAATTAAATTGTGACGTGTTTAATACATTTTTCTCAGTAAAATTGATTAGACCTAGTAAAGTTAACATTCAATTTTTTTTATTATACCTACCTGTGATTTCTGAGCTGAGTTAACAACCTAAAAGATAACCTCGGGCGAATTTATATCTGCTCCAACCTAAAAATGTTAAATAAAACTTGGTTATACATTTTTTTATATTAGGGTTTGTGAATATTGTTTGGTACATCAATGAAATTTATAATAATGAATACAATAAAATCGTTAATCCTATTTTTATTGCGCTAAATGTGTGGCACGATGACCGTCGAAAGCAGAAAGTCCAAACGTATTGATTAATTATTGCCGATAGCGTCTATTGCAAATAAAATAAAAAAATCCAGCTCGATTTTCATTAGAAACTAATATTATAGTATCTTAGTCCGCAATTTTCACGCGCCGGCTAAATGTTCAATTTGTCAAGTCTAGTCCCAGCATTGTCCAATTTCCTTATAGTTTTCTTCCCATGAAGCTGTTGTTTAATTGCTCCCAATTGGTTAAATTAATCGTCGTATCCTATAAAACCTATAAAATAATAAATCCTGATAATATTGCAAATTTATTTACAAAAAAAAACGTCATGTTTTACATTTTTACTTAAATAAAAATATTTAACCTATATCTTTTAGTCTATAAGATATAACCAGTTGTTTTTTTTATTTGTATAAATATGGGTATGAAAGGAAATTCAAATTACTACATCATAGTTTTGTCGATTTTTCTTTGTCATTGACCAAAGGCCTTATTTCAGACTAGGTCATAGCCCTGACTTCATGGTGCACCAAAAAATTTATTTTTAGAAATAATACATACTTGCATGATAATGTATTTGTTATACCATCTACTTGTATGAATAAAAAACAATTATATTTAGTAGATAGAAATACTTTTAAATATCACATTGATGCATGCGTGGACTTACCATCATTGGCGTAGAATAGTCAAATTTTTTGAGGGAGCTGTAGCCATGATGATAAAGAGGTCTCACCTATCGTGACGTTTTGAGAAAAAAATTAAACAAAAATAAAAATTACATACACATTTTATACAAAGTGCAATACACAGATCTGACACATGACATAACTGTTTGCACTTAAATATCTGTGTTTTACATTTACCTTTGTAGACGGATGTTTAAAATCCGGGCTGTCATCTGGTTGGAATCCGTACATTATGGTAACCGTATCTACTAGCATAAAGGTCTTATGATTACTATTTTTATAAATTAGTTGTTAGAT